TTCTACATTTATTACAACTAGACTTGTAATTTCATCAGAGAATGAAATCAAGTTTGGCTGACAAGACCTACATTCCATACAACCATATTGAATGGCATTAATTATATGCCTATCTTCAACAATTTTTCTTCAGCTGAATGTCTTGTGAGATGCTCTGTTGTGTTGTACAGTATCCCCAAGGCAAGGCAACTCATCGAGTTCACTGATCTCTGCTGTGAAACACCAGTCCAACCAGAGATATCCCATATCACACATCACAACCAATACATTGCCCTATGACCCAGACATTTTTCCTACTACAAATAGCAAAAAAGCTTATCACTGGCACCTACAAGAAAGTGCTTGAATATTTTTTGATGCTGAGATTCCTTTTGAAAGAAATCAAATCAGAATATTCTCTCCTGGAGCACATTTAATGCATTCCAACTGTGAATAGCATTCAGCCCACTTGCCCAGACCAAAGTGAGTCTATTCTGCTAATCCCTCCCAAAGTGCTGGCAGTGGGAGCCTTCAGCCTAACAAAGACATATCCTGTGTGTACAGTGAACAAGATGGCAAAGTTTTGTTGTCTCCTTTTATCCTATAGGCGATATATACGTGTGTGCATGTGTTTGTGTGTGCACATATTCCTGTATTTTCCTTTTACGGATTCTTCAGTTGAAAGTACAGTTGAAGGAAGAAGGGCCCCCAAGGTGCTGGAACCCTGGCACAGAGAGCAGAGATCTGTAGGGTCTCCCCCTTGTGGATCTTCCGCAGCCCCTGGCGTGGTGCTGGACATCCAGCTCTACATGACCTTCCTGGGGCAGGGGGGACCAGAGGGACCCTGGGGTGCTTCCAGCTCCAACCACTCCCTGATTGTCTGAAGAGATAATGGGGAGGCACACATACAGAATCACAGAGTCATTAAGGTTGGAAAAGACCTCTACTATCACCCAGCCCAACCCCAGCCCAAACATCCAACACCCAACACCCAGCCCAACCTTGCCCGCATCTCCACTGCTTTGGAACACCTCCCTGGGCAGCCTGTCGCAGTGCATCACCACTCTTTTAGAAAAGAAATTTTCCCTAGCATTTTCTTTTTAAATTTTCGTTTACTTTGACATTCACCTGTCCTCTACTAAAACCAATAAGCAGACTTTCAGAAAATTCTCCTTTGCTATGTGCACCACGCTGTAGCTGCAGTACATGGCTGCCTTCTCTGGGCACGCTGTTTTTTCAGGCAGAAGTTCGTAGTATTTAAGCAAAATTTTATTTAGATTAACAACTGCAGAATTGGCCCACGGTGATAAACTGATTTCTTTCTCTGTAAGGTTGACATATATTTTAGTACAGCTGTATAAAACAGCGTGGATCACACTGAGAAGGTAAAGCATTGTATTTTGCAAATCAGAAACTCACAGAGGATAATGAGCCAGACATAACCTCCTGTTTCAGAGCTGACAAAGTCTGTAGAGAACTGGGAAACATAAAGAAGGTAAAAACAAAAAAACAGTTAGCCAAATGTTAGTGCCATTTAATATTTCACAGCTATCTTCCAAACAATATGAAACTCCCCCCAGAAAACTGAAAAGTGGTCAGGAAAGAGGGAGTTGCAGGAGGTGACTTTTTATCTACAAAAATTCTGTGTTAGGCAGGAAGTCAAATAATATTGCCATTATGGGCTCTTCTGCCCTCTGAAAGTCTATCAGAATGTTATTATTGCCATTCTTTTCACGCTCATTATTTGGAAGGTTAAAAAAAAAAAAAAAAGTAAAAAAGTTAAAAGGATCCCCAGAGTGGTTTCTCAGTGTGTTCTTGACTAACCTTTGTTTGCTTGCTTAACACATCGCTATCTGAAAGAGAAGCTGGAAATGTAATGAATGATATCTACAACATAATAAAAATTCCCAGGCTGGTTTGAAGAAGCAGATGCTCGAAAGACCTATTACTTTTTCATATAATACTTTACATATTCACTAGGGCCTTGGCTTTAGCTAGCACAAATTGTTTTAGCTCCAAAATCAATAAGCTCTGAAATATGCATTGGCTGAAAATCTGCTGCCTGTTCCTTTCAGTTACATTTAGACATTTGTGTCAGAAAGTATATGAGACTTACGAAAAGTTTATTGCACAAAGAAGGGGAAACTATAAGGAGATGCTGTGAGATCATCTCTTATCTTTGGTGCTCGAGCTACACACATGATGCCTTACTGTATAGAATTGTAAAATCATGGCATGGCTTGAGTTGGAAGGGACCTCAAAGATCATCCAGTTCCACCCCCCAGCTGTGGGCAGGGTTGCAGTAGATCAGGCTGCTCACAGCCCCATCCGACCTGGCCCTGAGCACCTCCAGCAGAGGGGCATAATGGATGTAGGAGATGGAGAGGCTGGGCTGGCCGTATGCCTACCAGTGGCACACATGCCTTTGTTTCAGCAGGCAAAGAGAAGCAAGTCAGAAATGGGGCAGGAGGGAATAGCTTTGGCATTGCGTGGATTTCATAACCCAGTTCACCAAGGGCTGAAGTATCAGGAGAAGAAGCCCACGTGCCATGTGGGTGCTGGCAGGTGAGGAGCCCTTTGAAGTTGTTCCACTTTGCAGGAAATAATGAACTGCTTACAGCATGCAGCAAGTTAAAAAGAATGAGCTCAGTTCTCTAATCCGTTGGCTTGGGCACTCACCTGGGAGATGATTAAGAAGGTGAAAATCTAAACACTATTAGGGAGAAAAAAAAATTGAAAAGAAGCACTGATGTGTCACTCAGATGTCTTTTTTTTAATATTTTTTTTTTATTTTCATTGCTCTTTACAGGGAGGTTTTTGCCAGAGCTCGAATCCCCACTGAAAGAGCTCACTGTAGCTAATCCTCTGAGAGCAGCTATGTTTTCTAAGTGGGAAATAGATACAGGATAAACAGACAGTCTGCTGTTGGCACACAGCCCTACCTGCCACGGTGTAATAAAGTCTTATCGGCTGCAGCGAGGTTCTGCTATGGCTAAGCTCCTTGCAGAGCTGAAGGAGAACTGAGCACCATGGCTAGAAATCCAATACTGGCACCTACAAATAAAGGATTTCCATTTGCACATTGAACAGTAAATTGAATTATACTTAGTGATTCAATAAATCATACGCTTCAAAGTTGTGGCTCTCTTGGGAGGAGGCTCCTGGAACTTTTGGAACTTGAAGTGAAGCGCGCTTTCGCTGTGGAATATTAAAAACCAGATAATTAAAGCCAATAGGTGATCTGAGGACACTATGACTCTCTGACTTAATATAAATGGACGTTTTGTGATAAATTCTGAAAGAGGTACGAAGTTGAAGAGCTGAATATCACTGAAAGAACACCATCCATCACTGAGCAGATTAAATTGTTTCAGTTGTTCTATGTTAGCTGGTTTAAACCTCTCCTTAGAGGATGTGCAGCTTTTTTCTTTGATTACTGCCTCTCCATTTTAAGAAATCTTACCAAATAAAGATTTGGTTAGAAATGTTTCGATATGGGTGGGTTTTCTTACAGTGCAAAGGAGTGGTTGGCTGTTGCGATGCCTGCTCTGTTCTTTTCCCTGTTGTGTACTTAGCATATAAATCCAAGATAAATGCAATTATTCTGTTTTTGCAGTCAGAATTCACAGAATGATAGAACTGCTGACCTTACAGGTCATCTAATCAAACTCCCCTGCAAGGAACAGGGGAATTTAAGCTTAATGCCAAAAACTAAGAAGGCAAACAGAGTTTTGGTTTCCTCTTGTCACTTTGGCTTTAGCTGAGTCACATCCGGCACGATGAGCTGAGCTTTGGCGTGCTGCTCAGGTTAACCTTGGGCCTCTGTTGAATCCTTATGAAGCACACAGTACCTGCAGAGTGATTGCACCTTCTTTCTGTCCAGTGCTGTTTTCTCTTTGTGCTTCTCCTAGGGAAGCTTGTGCTCAATCAGTGCCGCACGAAGCCTTTTACCTCTGTTTGCTCTTGTGCACCCAGTTGATCGGAAGAGTTTCCATGGAAATTGGTGGGAGCTGGGGGTGCTCACCACAAATGATTTGAGATTGTTCATAGCAGAAATAGCCACGCCATATTCAGAAGGAAAACCCAATAGGTTGTGGAGAGGCTTTGAGGATAATTAAAGGTGAATCTGATAAGACTGGCCATCATTATCTCCTGGCTTTCTCTGTGAGGATAAATATTGATTTTAAAGATGCTCTGGGTTCTACCAGTCTGTTAGCCACACATCTAAGGGATTTTTTTCCATGAGGTCAGGCTATAGCATTCTTAGGGTAATGCTGTTATTTCCCTATTCAGAGGAAAAGAAGCAAACTGATTCTTTGAACTTCTGGATTAGTCAGAGCAGACAGTGTTGACAAGATATAATTGCTGCTTCAATTGAGAGGAAAGGTAATGCCTCTGTTGTTTTGAAGTTCTTGAAGAAACGCTCATGTGATCTGAAGCTACTTGTCTCAGACAAGCAATTTGCTCCTGAGTGACAAGAACTTTCTCATGGTTCACATTGGCTTAAAAAAATAATGAAGTCGGAAGCTGCTCCTGAATCTTCTTAGTTACATGAGGTGGGCTTGCAAAATCTGGATGCATCGTTGTCCATTTGCTCTCCTTTATCTCAAGCAACAATAAAAAGCCCAAGCTGGTCTTCAGCTAAGGAAAAAAAAAAAGAAACACTATTATTTTCCCTGATAATCCATGTTAAAACATGGAATTTAGAATAAATTCCTTCCCTGACCTAAGCTGGCCGTCAATTTGCACCATTCTACAAGAAGACCATTTCACTTTACTATCAAGCCAACTACCTGTGACTTTCATTTTTATCCTACTAAATGTAGGATCCCTTTCAGTTACCTGCCCTCAAAATTTGCCTTCAGATATTGGATTGCTTCAATTGTTGATTTCAGTAGGCACAGTGCATGTGGAAGAGGAATGGGGCCATCGTTTGCCTGGACAGTATCCTGGTGGTCAGGATGACATGGCTTTAGCTACAGGTTACATATAACTTGTACTTTTTTGCCTTTTAATTGCAGGGAGCTTATCTTTGCTGTATTGTCAAGCACACTGGACAGGAACCAAATTGATTTTATCAAAATTTTCATTACAGGTATCCCAGATATGTCCCCTTTTACTTCTCTGTGTTCTAGACTAAATTTAATCCTACTCTTTTAAATCCCCTTTAATAGCTAGCCCACCTGCCTGTGTGCCTCATTTAAGTTTTCTTCTTTTCATGTGCCCCAATTAACTGATGTAATGCTGTCTTACCCTTCCTTCTTACACCTCTTTCGTATGTCCTACATCCTTTGTATTTCCTTCCACTACTGTTTGGGTTTTTTTTTCCTTCAAATTTCCCTTAGTACCAGATTGGTATTTTCACTGAACATTCCCCAGTAACTTATAGACTGATTTTTCTTGTTTGGTGGCAGCTAATTCAGAACCCCCCAATGGGCCAGACTCACCTGGTTGTTGCACTGCATGAAATTCCAGATGATTCTGTTGAAGTCAGCTGAGTAAAGGTGAAATTTATGCTGGTGAGAATGACAGGAAAACCTGGCGTAGTTTGAACAAGTAGCCTATTTTAGAATCATAGAATCATAGAATCACCAAGGTTGGAAAAGACCTAGAAGATCACCCAGTCCAACCGTTCACCTATTCCCAATAGCTCCTACTAAACCATGTCCCTCAACACAACATCCAGCCTTTCCTTGAACACCCCCAGGGTCGGTGATTCCACCACCTCCCTGGGCAGTCCATTCCAGTGCCTGACCACCCTTTCTGAAAAGTAATACTTCCTCATGTCCAGCCTGAATCTCCCCTGCCGTAGCTTGAAACCATTCCCCCTGGTCCTATCACTGATGACATGAGAGCAGAGGCCGACCCCCAGCTCACTACAACCTCCCTTCAGGAAGTTATAGAGAGCAATAAGGTCTCCCCTGAGCCTCCTCTTCTCCAGGCTGAACATTCCCAGCTCCTTCAGCCTCTCCTCATATGGCCTGTGTTCCAGACCCCTCACCAGCTTTGTTGCCCTCCTTTGAACACGTTCCAGGGCCTCAATGTCTTTCTTGCAGTGAGGGGCCCAAAACTGGACACAGTACTCGAGGTGCGGCCTCACTATGCCCACCTAAAAGTCATTCTGACCATCCAGCTTACTTTGGTTGATTAGTTCCTTGTTATGCTTTAACTGGAGAATAGGGTTGTTGTTTTGGGTTTTTTTTTTCTTTCAAATGGAGATATTATGGCAACAAAAATGCCTACATTTATAAATTTTTGGTGTGTGCAGCACTCAGCACCATGGACTCTCACCTTGCAATGCCTGGGTGTTCAGCAATCTGTTAGTTTTTGCTGTGGAAAGTCATGTGGCCAGATACTTCTCCTTTTATGAACTTCATCTTTCAATAATATAATAAAGAATGAAAGAATTTGGGCCATACCATAACTGAAAAACAGGAATAATGTCTTTTAATGTGAAGTAATCCCTGATTGCCTTCCTTGAACTTTATCTACTGCCACGAAGTTCAATTAGGAGCTCATTGACTCTTTCTGAGGCCCATTGGGAGCAGTGTGTTGGCAGATACAGAGTTTGGAATTTGTTGTATGATCTTGTGTAAACAAGCCTTTGAGCTTAGTCTTCATTATCAATTATTTCATCTGTGTCTTACCTCATTGCTGGTGAAGCCCAGCTTCCTACTGCCAGGACAGCGTAGGTGTTGTATTTTTCATGTTTTCTTCATATGCTTTCATATTTTAATATTCTGGTTAGAATACTTGATAATATTTTACTAATTGTCAGGCACAAATATTTAAGAGATTATTTTATTTTATTTTATTCTATTTTATTTTATTTTATTTTATTTTGTTTTATTTTTTTGCTGAAACTTGATAACATCTGCAAAAATACCACTGGCTTACCTTATTTACACTCTGGCTGGTTTATTTCACGATGGCCTTGTCCAAACTTGTAGATATCATAGAGCTAGTATGTACATTAAACATTATGTATAAGAAGCTCATGCCTTTAAAAATACATTAAAAAAAATAAAAAGGGAAATAAGGATTGTGCTTTTGATCTCAATATTAAAAAAAAAAAAATGGGTATGCAGCAGCTAATTCTCATTAATAGGACCTGATTTTTGTCTTTTAAGGTAGAACTGGCCACATGGAAGCTGTACGAGTGGTATATCAGCCAGAAAACATCAGCTTTGAGAAACTGCTCAAGGTCTTCTGGGAGAATCATGACCCGACACAAGGTAGAGTGATGAGTGAGCCAGTATTTAATTATCTTACTAATTACAGCTGGGATAATTAGTGTTTGAGCTGCATGGAAGAGATGAACCTTGAAATCACACTGGAGCTTGAGAATATGATTGCAGACATTTATTGACAGAGAAAGAGAGGAAGAGAGAGAATGAGAGTACAGAAACTCACAATACCCCTCCTCCTTTACAGCTGTCTGTGCTGGGAAAATTCCCACAGAGAGACACAGCAGACAATAGAATTTTTTTTTTCTCAGCTTTGATTATGACAATTTCTTCTGTAATGCTATCTTTTGTCCCTTAATTTGAAGCACAGTTCTTTGCAGCTTCAAATGTGGACGTTCTATTTTTTGCTGAGAAAATTTATACTTTGTAAAATAGATATTTTTTTGCTGTATTTTCCAATGGCAGCGAATATACCTTTTTTTTTATGATGAGCAAAAAAATGAACAAAAGATGTCAGAATTGATATGCTGAGTGGAGCATTCTGGCTATTTGCTTTCTTCGAACCTTCCGATTTATCTCTCTTGGAAGAGATTTCGTGGTGACTTTATACACATCTGTGCAAACATAAATGGGAAACTGTGCTGGGAACACATTGTACATGTTTATATAGTCTCAATAAGCATCATGCTTTCTACCATTTTCCAGAAATATTACGCTCAGTAACTCATTTCAATATTTTAACAGCTATCATAATTATGCCACTTGTTACCACATCTGGTAACAAAAAGCGCAGATGATACCTACAGAATGGGGCACCACCCTGAGAGTCAGTAATGCTGAAAGGGATCCAGGGGCTTTTGTGGATTAAGTGTCTTCCACTGAGCCCAGAGTGCAGCGGAAAGACAAAAAATTGCTATTGCAGCTCCTGCCTGTGTGAAAAGGGAAGCCCCAGTCAGGGCGAGGGCGCTTTCTGGAGGCAGCCAGTAAAATCTCATGGATTTATAAACAAGGCTGGAAAAGACCACTAAGATCACCAAGTCCAAGTGTCAGCCCAAGATCACCATGCCCTCTAAACCAGTGTTCCTAAGTGCTCTATCTATCCTTTTCTTGAACACCTCAAGGGATGGTGACCCCACCACCTCCCTGGGCAGCCTGTTCCAATGTGTTGGAACCACTCTCTAAGAAGAAATGTTTCCTAATATCCAACCTGAACCTCTTCTCATTCAGCTTGAGGCCATTACCTCTTGTCCCAGTGCTGTTACCCGGGAGCAGAGGCTGTCCCCCACCTCACCACAACCTCCTTTCAGGAGTTGGAAAAACCAATGAGGTCTCCCTTGAGCTCCTCTGCTCCAGACTGACCCATCCCAGTGTACTCATCCACTCCTCCTATCACTTAGGGTCTATGTTCCAGTCTCTTCACTGCTTTGTTGCCTTTCTTTGAAAAATTTCATGTGGTTTCTGTGTTGACCTACCAAGAATTATAGAACAGGAAAAGGACACCTTCAAATGTCAAACATCATTGTGAGATTGACAGTCCAACCACTGATGGACCATGACAAAATCCAATAGCTGGACATTCAAGTTTGAGAAGTTTCACCTCGGAATGAAATAATTTTGCAGCTTGCAGTGTAATTAAGCACTGGTTTCTTTTTCCATCATTGTCATTTCAAGACTTTAAAATGAGATCATTTATCGTTTGAAAGAGGAGCTCGATTCAATTCCTGAGAAGCTCTGCCTATGTGTGGTGGCAATGGCATGTACTGGGATGTGCTGATTTATGTGCCTCCTTGATCAACCCCTTCCTTTCTGTTTGTGATCAGAATGATGTGCTTGCACCATCCTTGAAACACTAGCTCCGAGGCTATACCTGTCTTCACATCATTCTTCAGGGCCTTTGTGGTTTGCTTGTAGGTTTCAGTAAGGAATTTTACCCCATCCTATCACTGGTTAGTTCTAGTTTTGTTCTTTTTAATTTGGATTGTCAGCGATTGGCCATAACCTGGCCTCTTTGTGTTTTACTCATCCATTGGATTCATCCCAATTGCCAGAGCTAGGAACCTAGCCTTCCAAAGCAGCGTGAGGAATGGATCTCTGTTGATATACTCAGGGAAACTACCACCTAACCAATTCTCTGCCACTGCTGTAGTCTTGCCTGGGACTGTGTTTGGTTGGTCACTGCATGTGGCACAGATGCAATAGCTTGATCTCTAAAAAGCTTCAGTGCATTAGGTTGGCTGAAGTACGAGTACTGGGCATAATGTAGTAGTTGTGGTAAATGAACTTAAGATTCCTTCTGACTTTAAAACAAAATAATAATAATAATATCTTTGTATTCACTTTACATCCTCACATAACTGAGGTTCAGAATAGTTCCAGTCAGTGCTTTCAGAAGAAGGTTGGATGCTGGCAGATGTATGATTCACTTCTTGATTTCTGGCAACTGAGGAAACATCACCTAATTAGCCCGGGCACAGAGCCACACTAATGTGACCGTATTCCTTCTGGGATGTAAGCTAATATCTCTGCATGATGCTGCAGTGTGCATACCCAAGTCATTCACAGCTACCTCAGGAATCTGTGTGGCTCTGTGGTGCCTGGTATAAACACAGCTAAGCCTTCATTAGGAGGAAGTTTTTCCCCCAGAGGGTGGTGAGGCACTGGAACAGGTTGCCCAAGGAGGCTGTGGATGCCCCATCCCTGCAGGCATTCAAGGCCAGGCTGGATGTGGCTCTGGGCAGCCCAGGCTGCTGGTTGGTGACCCTGCACACAGCAGGGGGTTGGGACTGGATGAGCATTGTGGGCCTTTGCAACCAAGGCCATGCTGTGATTCTGTGATTCTATGATTCATCCTAGCTTGACTCAGTAGAAGTTCCAAGTGGTTCTTTTGTAATAATTTGCAAAAAGCAAGAGCATCACTTTACCTGCAGAGATGATGGCAGTCACTGAAGCCTTCTTGTGTTCTAGACACGGCTGATGTGGGCAGATTGCTTTACCTATGTATTTTTATGATTGCTTAATGCTAAACTCTGTTCAGTGTCTCTGCAAAGCTCACTACATCTCTATAGCCTTTCTTGATTTGAGAAAAACTAAACCACTAGTGCCCAATTTCAAGTTTCTTTGTCCTGTGGGATAGGGATGGTATGCTGTGTATCTTTTTCAAGTTGTGGCAGTTAGCACTAGAAGCTTGGTAAGGTGGAATTATTTCTTCATCTTTTTTGCACCCCGCTCCCTGCTTTTATCTTGCTATGAGAAATGTGGTTTTCTGTAAAGATACAAAGTGAGAATTATCTCCCTGACCTGTGATATTTTTCTTCTTTCCTGAAATTCAGCTATGTGCAAAGTCTTATTTAGCCAGCCTTGCGGGAATGCAGCTCAGTCTGTCAAAAGGAAGGCTTTTACTAAGCAGTTAAATTAGAAAGATTTCTTATTCATGAAATTCAGCACACTCCTTGGATGAATCCAGTGTCTCATACAGCCAGCAAGTGCTGGACTTTCTGAGTATAATGCTCACTCAGAAATACAAAAGCTTTGTCTGTGGCACTGCCTTATCTTTCCCCCAGAAGTCAGGTTAATTCCATTTAAGCCCTCGTATCCCCCACCGAAACAATGGACTGGTCTGGTTGTCCCAGTGTCATTAAACATCAAATATGGAAATATTCGCTTGTATTGTTTCAGATTCACTTGCAATTAAGGATCTTTCAAGTATCGATCTAGTTGGCACCAACTTGCTAAAGGATACAGATGGGCAGTCCTATCATTCATTGTTGAAAAAGCATATTAATATTCAGAAGTTCCTGCTTTCCAAGCAGTTGGACCTCCTGCCTTCAAGATGAGGCAGACATCTCACTGGGATTCAAGGTTTCTCTGGGAGGCAGCCTGGCTCTTGTTTCATGGAGCTCTTGAGTCTGAGTATTATACAGAAGACTACTGAAAAGCAAGAACCTTTGATCAGTCAAACAGCCTGTGAGTTGAAAGAGATTCTCCCAAATGAGCATCTCCTAAGTGTGGGGCCCTGATAAAGTCCTCCTTGACTATTAATTTAGGCTGTATTTTATAATTCATTACATTCGGGATACTGAAAAAGCAACAAACCCTCGAATTCTGCCAAGTGGCATATGGCTGTCATCTCTGTTCAGCCTCTACTGCACAGATCAGCATTCCTTCTCTCCTAGGAATAATCTTATCCATAACGGGAATGCTCTACACAACTCTAGAAGTGCTTGAGGTGGTTGCTTCTTTGTGGCTGATACAGTAAAAGAGGGTGAATGTCCTATGCTAAAAATACTGCTGGAGAGTCTTACAGCTGTCTGCTTTGTGCATTGCTTTGTAGACTTACAGAGGCACAGAGCAGATTCCGTACTGCCCTGTTTTTGCATCAAAGGTGCCTTTCTTAGAGCCTTCCAAATTTTTTTTTGGTTATAAGCCTGGCCATCTCCTCCAAATTGCATCCTTACAATGGATTTGCTGGCACCTCCATGCTGTGTGTCCACTTTCAGCCCATCAGTTTGTGTTGTGCCTCAGCCTGTTTTCACGTTTTCTGGAAGCTAGTTTTTGACCTGTCTGGAGGATGCCACGTCTTTCTTCGTGCTGACACTGAAAGCCACAAAAAAATTCTCTGATCAAGCTGAAAAGTAACCCTGCATGAACTAAAATATAGCTTTGAGCCTGGACTTTCATTGCCAGAAGCACAACTGCCAGTGAGACTGCCCTTCTGGCACCAGCAGTGCCTGCCAATGTGTGAGCCAGTTGGGAAACCCAACTTTACTTATGTTCGGGGAAGAAAATGTCATATTTTATCTAATCAGAGAGTTTGACTACTCTGAGGGGAGTCAGAAACAATTTCTCCAAGTCTCTGGAAACATCTTTATGATATTGGAGGAATCAGTTTGTCATGGTGCAAGCAGGATGGCTGTTAAGCATGGTGCTATTCATAATTATGTTGATCTTTTGGAAGATTGAAGTCTTACATGTGTTAAAGATTTCAGCTCAATCTGAGGCAGCTTTAAAGGATGATTCTTTGTTGTTTTCATAAAATCATGGAATCACAG